TGAAACTATAGATACATCCGGAAATCCCCATACAAGTGACTATTTAACTGAAATTGCTTGCAATATAATTTCCTCATGTAAATCAAAATATAACTGTAACGTGACATCATTTGTAACAGATAATGCTGCTAATATGGCACTAATGCGAAAAACCTTACAAGAAAAATTGGACCCCAGCATTTCAGTGATATCTTATGGGTGTTCAGCTCATCTTTTAAACCTACTTTGCAAAGATTTAGAAGTAACAAATATCAAAGAGCACGTTACACAAATTATAAAATATTTTAGAAATAATCAATTAACGAGCTTGATGGAAAAGCATTAGTGCTGCCAAGTGATGTGAGATGGAATAGTATGGCAGATTGTTTGGAAGTATATGTAAGTCAATGGGATAAACTATTAAAAGTGTGTGATGAGAATAAAAACGAAATAGATTCGACAATATACAAAAAAGTTTCAAACATTGGTCTCAAACGCTCAGCGGAAGATTATTTGAATGTCTTAAAACCCATAACTATAGCACTTGACAAATTACAAAAAAAGAATGCTTTCCTCTCTAATGCAGTGGAAGTATGGGAAGAATTGAAAACATTACTCGAGGAAAAATTATCATCTGTACAAATGAAAGTTTTTGATAAACGGTATAAGCAGGCACTTACGTCTAACTATTATATAGCCTATATTTTAGATATTACTAAAACTATGTATAAGTTAACATCTGTATAAAAAGAGGAGGCCTTAAATACAATCAATCAAATGTATGCTAATACCGGTTTACTACCGCTAATTATAAAACTAGAAGCAAAAATGGAACCATTTTCATCAGTAATGTTTTCGGAGGAAGTCTTATGTAATGTAAGTGCTTTACAATAGTGGGTATCACAAACACACATTGCTGAAGTAGAGAAGGTACTGCCAATATTAAAGCAATTTTTATGTGCGGTTTGTTCATCTGCTTCTGTTGAGAGAATATTTTCAACATTTGGGCTTGTTCACGCTACTTTACGAAACAAGTTAGGTGTTGAAAAGGCAGGAAAACTTGTTTTCTTATATAAGTATTACAATGAATCTTAATTTTTGTATTAAATGTTTTTTTAATTTTGTAGTAAAGTGCACTTTAATTTTCAGTTTTGTTTTTAATTTAAATCATTGATTAAAATAAATAAATCATTTGATTAAAATCATGATTTAAATCAGTCGAACCCTGTCGCTTACCCATTATTGACCAGGAACTCTCGTTCAGTATGGCTTCAGAAGTAGCGGTACTTAACGCGTTGAACGCTATAAAAACAAATGCTGTTGGTTGTGATAATATAAGTAGGCTAATATTGCTGATGTGCTGTCCTACCATCCTTCCCTACTTATATCACATTTTCAATTTTTGTCTAGAGCATGGTGTATATCCTGATTTGTGGAAGATAGCTTCGGTTATTCCGGTACCTAAGAAGAGCAGTTGTAAGGATTTGAACGATTTCAGACCTGTTAGTATTCTGACAGTGCTTTCAAAAGTTTTTGAGAAAATTATTGCTGCCAGAATTTGGAAACATGTTGATTCATTTCCCATTCTATCTAACAAGCAGTTGGATTTTCGAAAAAGATTTAGTTGTTACATCTGCTCTTCTTGGCGTGACGGATGATATGCTAAGAGGAATTGATAGCGGGTGTGTTGTTGCTTGATTTTTCAAAGGCATTTGACACTCTACATCACTTAACTCTTATTTCAATATTGCATTACGTAGGGTTCTCTCCGTTTCGACCATCGATCTCAGTTTGTAAAGGTGCACGGCAAGCGTTCTAAGACAATCCCTATGATATCCGGTGTACTTCAGGGGTTTATTCTGAGTCCGATATTATATTTAATATACACATTTAATCTTACTAATCAATTAAAATTTTGCAAAAGTCATAAGTATGCAGATGATACGCAAGTTTATTATACCTTTGATAGGGAGAATGATCGGAACGCAGAACTGACTTTGATAGACTGCTTGGTTATGTTAAGAGGCACTGTCTTACTATTAATTCTACCAAGTCGTATGTTGTTGTTTTTGGTCCGGATGTGGTGAAGGATTCTTTAGATATGCGACTTGACAATGTTAAACTTGGTATTTCATCTGAAGCTCGTAATCTTGGAATCATTTTCGATTCAGATCTGAGATTCAAGACATATTAGATTCTGCTATCAAGATCTCATATAGTAATAGACATATCTTGAGCCAGAAATTTAGCTCTTTTTCATATTTGTTATGTTTGTGATTTTTGTTGTTACTTTAGCAATCTTGACAAGATAATCACAAATGTGGTTTTGTAGTTTTTCCCTTGATGTTTATTAAATCTGTAAATATATTATCTATGCAGTTTGCGGATCCTGGTGATACTTTAGGAAGGACTGGAAAAGATGCCTTCCATTCCAAACATATTGAATATATTACGAACCGCCATGGAATCTTGGTTGCTATGCATAAAATTTATGTTAAAATCTCTGGAAAGTAGCACTCTATAGTTAGGATACGTTTCTGCAATGTATACCAGGTACCATTTCAGTTTTTCCTTGAAGATGTTTAAGTCACCTAGCGGTGATCGATATAGACAAATAACAATGATGTTATATTTTTTCAGGGTTATACTTGTAATTTCCATATCCTTTTCCTTACTGGCGTGGACTGGATTGAATCTTTTATTAATATTAAGACACCGCCATGCTTATACTCTACAGAAGGATGATGCAATGTTGTATCCATTGATTCTCAATATATTCATTGTTGAGGTGTCCAGCCAATGTTCAATGATACATCTTATAGTAACGGAAGAATACATGGAAGGAACAAAAATTTATAGCTAAATTTAAAACGATGGGGTCATTGACCCCATATATGGACTCCGAAGGTTAAATATCAGTTTCTTACAGTTTAAAATTCGGTCTGTATTGTCTCATTCCACACAAGTGATGATTACAACTGAATCTCTTTGAATTAAAAAAAAACAAATTTAAAAAATGTAATATATTTCGATACAAAATGAAATTAATAGTTTATTCATTTAAACCTTTTTATCACTAGGAATGTATATTTATTTAGTTTTATTAAAACACCATTACTTCGATTAGTACTTAATAAGCACTTTAAAACAAATCTAGCTTTATTTATCCTTTTTTGCTTTTGGTTTCTCTTTACTCTTCTTTTGTTGTTGAGTTTCTTGTCCCTTTTTAGAGAACAAAGCGACAATAACTCCCATTAAAAACGTTCCAATCCCAACGTAAACTAACCAACTGTTTTCCTTGATATAAACCGCAATCAATGATGTTAAATCATCGCTAAAATTAAAAATAAAAAGTAAAAACATTATTTTGTTAAAATTAACTTACAATGGAGTTTTTGGTAAAGGAACTTTCTCCGGGGTAACATTTTTGTACCATTCAGTAATGAATGAAACGAAAGACGCAACATCGTACACTTGAATGTGATATCTATACATTTTCCCTTGTTTGAATCTAAGAATAAATTGGAATTTAGATTTAATTCACGATAAAAATTAATTATTATTTACAAAATAAAAGCTGGAACATTATAAACTTCGAATCTTCTCGCTGTTGATGCTCCTGTTGTTAATCGATTTATCCGAGCAATATTTGCACGATTTTTTACTTTAGCTCCAACAGCTTCTAATCGCGCTTGTAATCGTTGACAATCAACACAATCGTTGGAATAACTAAATTTAAAATAAATTGCTTGAGTATTACTATTTTTTTTTTTGAACAATTCAAGAATCATCATATGGCTTAAAAATCGACTTCAAATTAATACAAATGAAACGAGAGAGTAGTGAAAAAACTGTGGCAAAACGAGAAAGTACAGAAAATATGGAACTACTTCCAGTACCAGTTGAACTACCTCTATGTGTTGTTTGTCACAAGGTGCTAGCAGCTGAAAGTATGCTTCCTAATAAATTAAAACGTCATTTAGAAACATCTCACAGTAATTTACAAGGAAAATCGCGATTTTTTTTGAAAGAAAATTGGGAGAAATAAAACAGAATTGTTATCCAGAGCATCTATTCCTCGCAAAGAACTGCTCACCTCTTACAAGGTCGCTCATCGTATTGCCAAATGCAAAAAACCAACAACTGTATGTGAGGATTAATTATTTTGCAACAAAATACAACCGGGAAGGCTTGTGATTTGTTTACAGTTATAGATTCATACATGAAGATATCAGCGCAACATGGAGGACTTCAAGCTCTCATTAAAACCAAGGCTCCAAATTCAAAATGTACACATTGTATCATACATAAAGAGGCTGTGGCTGCAAAAAATATATCACCTGAATTAGCTGCAGGAAAACGAAACGCATATACTGCAACTGGCTGATAAAATTGCAGCAAATTGCTATTTGTGGAATAGAAAAATACAAGAAGGAACAAGGAAATACTGATTGGTTTCCTGTTTTAAAAGGCTTCCTGCAAGAAAAATCTGTTTAAGATCTGAAACCAAGTTTGCAATTGATATTAATTTTATCAACATTAGGCACCTATTTTAATAGATATTTTCCAGAGAATCTTGATCAAAACGACTGGATTAAAGATCCATTCCAATCGACCCCACTCTCATCTGCACTTTCTTGTGACACGAGCCTAAAACTACGATAAGACAAAGACAAACAATTATAAAGACAAATATTTCAATTGTGGAGCAACGTATAATAATAATAAGTCGTATTTGTGTGAAACTGGCTTTTATGCAGTAATACATGAAAATGCAGATCACAAATCAATTCAGAAAAAGAAGGGAGTAGCGATTTCAAAACTTCAACCTCGATTTGAGAAGTTATGTTCAGAAAAGCAAGCTCATCCTTCGCGTTGACTGTTATATTTTCTAATAAATAAACTAAAAAAAAAATTAAAATAGAATCTTTGGAGTTTTCTTCAATTAAATACAAATAATAAATAAAGTAATCTTAATGTCTGCTAGAGCTACAAACAAATATCTTCTTTTAGAAGGGCGTCGCAAAAAAATACAACCTGTAAAGATAGTCGCAGTATAAAAAAGATTGGGAACATCTGACTTAACCTACAAATTGTTTATTTTATAGTCACGCACAAAATCAATCTGATTAACTTAAAAGTAAAGTCATTGTCACTAAACTAGGTGAGATTACAACGTATATTTTCGGATGAAACTGACTATCTGTTATTAGGTAGAGTGTATCAATAGATAGAAGAAACAGAAGAAAGAAACATTCGCATTTAGTAGCACGTCTGTCAAGACAGCTAAACCCGATACTTTCTAGTTCTAGTTTTAGTGCAATCAAAATATGCAACATAGTGATATCTTATGCTAACTACCGCTATCTACCACTGTCACTAGAACTAAAATATTCAGGTTTAGCCGTCTAAAGAGACACATGGCTAAACCTGAATGTTTCTGGTTTTAGGTCTAATGTTAATTCTAGTGCTAGTGTAAAACTAGAACTAACACTAGACCTAGAACTAGAAAGTATCGGGTTTAACCCAACTCGGAATGTACAACCCACCCTGTGCTTGATGCCCAACCCGACATTTGAGAAATTCGCACTGGTTTAAATGTTAATTAACATAATAATAATAATGCTAATTGCCTCAAAAACAAATATTTACATAAATATATACATTCATAACAACTATAGACATCAAGACAAACGGATCAATTTATCGCAATAAGCGATATCTTCCAAGAGACCCAACTGGTAACAGTGTATATGTAATTTTAAATAAATAATTATGGCTACCGAAAAAGTAATACTAAATGATGTGCTAATAAAACTGAGCGAATGAGCATTGTTGAATTATGTAACGGATCGACAGTCAGTTACTACAAGGAAAGAAATAGACACAATAAAGTGCAGCAAAAAATAGATGAAAAGCAGACTAGAGAAGAAAACAAACACGTATAGGTCAAGAAAAAGATAGTTGAAGAGATAGCAGATGGCGCTTCAAGGCATTTTTAAAACTTATTAAACTAGCTGAATTGCGAACAACGGCAGGCAAATCGTTCCACAACGCAATCGACTGCACTGTAAAAGATCTGTAGGTAGATTTCAAAACTATAGACTGGAAACATGAGTGTAGAGTCCGACATTAATCGAGTGGACAAGTCATATGATGCTAAAAAGTGAAAGGCATCAGACAAATAAGCAGGAGTGCGTGTATGGACAATTTTGTATAACATAATAAGCAAACGAAATGATTCACAAGTCTGGCAAGTCATCATCTGCAGATTGTTACGATATGGAGTAATGTGCTGAAACTTTCCTAAATCAAAAATGTACCGTATACAATTGTTCTGAAGTCTTTCCTATTTACCCCCAAGAGCTGCGGACTGATCGGGATACGCAGCATCGGCATAATCAATGTGTGAGGAAATAGCAAAGATTACGACGTACAATAAGAGGAAGGTAGCAACGAAGTTTTTTCAAAGTATCGAAACAGTAGAAAACCCCCCTACAGACTCCATGAACTTGTGGCCGCCAAGACATCGCCGAATCCATTACCACACCAAGATTTTTGACCGTATTAGAAAACGGAATAACGGTGTCGCCTAGCCTCAGTTGAAGGGTAGTTAAGGAATTAAATTGTGCCAGCAAGGGGGGAGTGCCAAATGCAATGGTTTGCGTTTTACTGGGATTCAAATTAAGTTCATGACGTCTAGACCAGTCAAGTACGCTAGAGAGATCGTTGTTAAGATGAAACAAAGCATCTGCGAGGTTGTTAACAGTTGACGAAATATAAAGTTGATGGTCATCTGCATACAAATGATAGTTACACGAGATACCATCACTATTACTATTTATGAAAACTGAGAAGAGCAGATGACCCAGCACACTGCCCTGGGGAACTCCACATTTCATACCAACTGGAGAAGAGAGTACAGATTCCACGCGGACACGTAAAGACCGATAAGAAAGGTAGGACTGGAATCAAGATACACAAGAAGAAGTAACATTAATAGCAGGAGCCTAGTTAACAGGAGGGCATGGTCCACAGAATCAAAGCCCTTACTAAAATCAAGTAACACAACGCTTATCACAAGCAGATCTAATATCATCGGTGATCTTAATTAGTGCTGTAGTAGTACCATGCCCTTCACGAAAAACATACTGGAACTTGTTAATCAGATTAAACTCCTCAAGATATTTCTGAATCTGTAAATAAGCTAAACGTTCAATAGCTTTTGACAACGTAGATAGAATAGAAATGAGCCGAAAGTCACCAACATGGGGCGGAGATTTAATTTTTGGGATAGGAATAACATGGGCTATTCGCCAGATAGACGGAAAAATACACCGTTCAAAAGAACAGTTGAAAATATGTGTTAGGGGTGTAATAACTATATCTAGAATGGGTAAGAGGAATCTGAGTCCAATACCATCGCCACCAACACTAGTGGACTTGGAGTAAGTTAAAGCATCCCGGATCTCAACATCTGTAACCAAGCTGAATGAAAACGAAAGCACGTTGGTAAATGCAAGGATTTCATTAATAGTATTCTGCCTAGTTATGTTACCAACCTCCACAGGAGGATTCGCAAAATACTCCGCTAGAGCAGCAGCATCAAGAGTGGGTTGATCTGTCGGAGACTCTATAACACCAAGTGATCGCATTGTCTTCCAAAATGTCTTATGAGTAACTCAAAATGGAATTTCTACAGAAAATTCTGAAATAAATCAGTAAATTAGGTGGATCCGAATGTAACGTTTAAAGAGGGAGGCCCCACCTCCCTCTAAAAAGATATGTCGCATCTGGGTGACAAATAATCGAGTGTTATACAAGCAATTTTTAAATTTATAATGGAAGAGACACAGAAAGATATCACTCAACAGAAGAATAGTTTCAGTAAATAGTCTTCAGCCTGTAGTATTGTAATCTCCAAGCACTTAGTAGTGTTTTGGCAGCAGTATATAATCTTCTGAAAGCATTATATAGTCTTTGCCAACAATATCTCGCTTCCTCCAAGCAATTAGTAGTCTTTCCAACAATATTTAGCATTCTGAAAGTAGTTAATAGTCTTTTGGAAAGAGTATCTCGTCTTTTCAAGCAGATAATAGTTTCTCCCAGCAGTATTTAGTCTTCTCCAAGCAGATCGTAATCTTTTTTAGTAGTATATAGCGTTCTGAAAGCAATAAGTAGTCTTATGGAAGCAGTATCTCGTCTTTCTGATCAGTTTGTAGTTGTTTGTTAGCAGTATATAGTCTTTTCCAAGCAGATTGTAATCTTTTCCACCAGTATCTAGCATTTTGGATGCAGCAGGTACCTTTTTTGGAGAGCATATCCCTTCTTTCCAAGTAGTTATTAGTCATTTCCAGTAGTATTTAGCATTCTGGCAGCAGTAGGTAGTTTTTTGGAGAGCATATCTCTTTTCAAAACAATTATTAAAGTCTTCGAAAGCAATAAGTAGTCTTGGAAGCAGTATTCCGCCTGTCCAAGTAGGTCAGAACCTTTAACCAATAGGTATTATTTTGAAAACAGTATCTAGTCTTTTCTAAGCAAGTTGTGGTCTTTATCAGCAGTATTTAGCATTTTAGAAGCAGTAGCTAACTTTTTGAAATAGTAATAAGGCCATTAAAGTCAATCGATTAGAAACACCGTCTTTCAAAAAATCGATTAGTAAAGTTTTCACGTTCAAAATTTGTTTAATTTTTGCAATAATTAATGTAAAAGTTTAAAATTCCCCACCCCCGGCTCCAGATGACGTTTTAAGTAAGAAGAGAGAAATCACAGACGTTCTATGTTTTCTTCTAGCGCATAAGATTCGTAGTATTGTCTCTCTCCAGGAATTTTATTGATTGCGCCCTGTATTTTCAAACTTTATTATTATTTTTTTTTTGAGAAACTAAGCCTCAGAATAAAAAATTAAAAAATATTGGGTCAATCAATTTCAAAAAACTTTCAAATAAGCCAATAAAAAAAATACTTAACGGCCCTATTTAGGCCCTACCCCTCTCTAAAATGATATGTCGAATCTGGGTGACAAAGAATCAAGTGTTGTAGCAGCAATTTTTAAATCTGTAATGGAAGGGACACAGAAAGATATCAGTCAACAGAAGAATAATTTCATTAAATAGTCTTCAACCAGTAGTATTCTAATCTTCAAGCAGTAGTGTTTTGGCAGCAGTACATAATCTTCTGAAAGCATTAAATACTCTTTGCCAACAATATCTAACTTTATCCAAGCAATTAGTAGTTTTTCCAACAATATTTAGCATTCTAAAAGTAGTTAATAGTCTTTTGGAAACAAATCTTGTCTTTCCAAGCAGACAATACTTTCTTACAGCAGTATTTAGTCTTCTCCAAGCAGGTCGTAAACTTTTCTAATAGTATATAGCGCTCTGAAAACAGTTAGTAGTCTTATGAGCAGTATCTCATCTTTCCAATCAGTTTATAATTGTTTGTTAGCACTATCTAGTCTTCTCTAAGCAGATTGTAATCTTTTCCACCAGTATCTAGCATTTTGGAAGCAGTAGGTAGCTTTTTGGAAAGCATATCTCTTCTTTCCAAGCAGTTATTAGTCTTTTCCAGCAGTATCTAACATTCTGGACGTAGGTAGCTTTTTGGAAAGCATATCTCTTTTCCAAACAATTATTAAAGTCTTTCAAAGCAATAAATAGTCTTGGAAGCAGTATTCCGCCTATCCAAGTAGGTCAAAACCTTTAACAGCAGTGTTTAGTGTTCTAGAAGCAATAGGTAGTGTTTTGAAAACAGGATCTTGTCTTTTCCAAGTAAGTTGTGGTCTTTTTCTGTAGCATCTAGCATTTTAGAAGCAGTAGGTAACTTTTTGAAATAGTATTTCCTCTTTCCAAGCAGTTTTTAGTCTTTTACTAGCAGTAATAAATCTTCTGATAGCAATAATTAGTCTTTTGCCAACAGTATCTAGCATTCAAGAACCAATAAGTTAAAGATTTTAAGTTATCTTTAGTTTGTAGATGGTAAACAATGATATTTTAGTTGTTGTGTGTCGAAAACCTAAGAAACAACCGTATTTCACCCGAAAATATGCGTTTTAACCAAAAGCACAGTCACAAAAAGTGACGTCACGTCGAAAATAAAGTGATTTAAAAAAAATTGTGGATTTTTAGGTGACATGATGATTCTTGAATTATACTTTTTTTTAAATATAAAGTGATTCTTACAACATAATAAACCAATCTCCAGTTGTTGCACCAGTTGCAACTTGTGTTAAATGTTCAAAAGTATCATCAGTTAATTCTTTAACAATAGGATCTTTGTTATCATTAAAGTTTTGTAAGATAGCCTCATCATTGAGAGGTCCATCATATAACAAAGGTACACCATGCCTAAAGAAAACGATTGCTGGTTCTCTTGTAGGAGTATACAACCTAGTCATGTGACTATTTGTCGTTTTAACAACCCAAGCACCTAAAGTATCCACTAAATCTTCTCTTAAATTCGATAATTCCGTTTCAAAGTTTTCACAACGTTCACAATCCCTTTTAGCTGTTAATAAAAGATAAATTACTACTTTAAACAGTAGTTAAAACCAAATAAATTACTTACAGAATAACACCACTACATTTTTTTCTGTTCTTATTAAATTTAATAATTCATCATCACTCACTATTTCTAAACTTGCCCGAATGCTTGTAATTAACGTTAAAATAAAAAAACTATAGAAAATTGATCGTATCATTGTAAATTGTGAAAAGAAGAACCGTAATGAGGTTATAAATCGTAAATCCACATCACAAGTTGTCAAATACCGGTTGGATGCCGGTAATGTACTAATAATAGATTTCGTATCATAGAAAAGTCATGTTTTGTATCTTTCTCTTACACACTGTTTAAATGGGTGGTTTTCTTTATTCAATGACTTTGTAAAATTTAATGTATGTCAAGGTCATATTATTCTTTTCTTATGTAGTTAAAGTTATCAGTTTTTTTGATTTATTCTTAAAATTTATTTAATTATTTCATAAATTTTTATAAAATTCTTATAATTCTAAATGTTAATAAGTTATTTGAAATATTAATTAAAGGTTATGTTGTTACTTCAATGTCAATTTTTTTGACATTTATAGTATAGAATCAAAAAGAAGTGGGAAGTAGAACAAAGCACAAAAACGGTTCTATTTTGGGAGCGATGATCAGGTTTAAGCTTGTTTTCGTTTTTAATTATTGTAATAGTTGTAAGCATTTTAATACAAAAAAATATTTTGCAAAAAATGTGGAACGCTTCACGATTTTGCGTGTCATCCTTGCGCAGGGGCCATGCTAATCTTCTCTGTATCGTTCCAATTTTAGTATATGTACCGCCGAAGCGAGTACAAATACCCTCTCCCCCAAAACCATATTTATTCTAAATAGGGGAAGCTACTCGTCAAGAAGAACTGATATTTTCAACATTTTTTTCTTCATTTTCATAAGAGTTTTATAATAACATTATGAATCATAGATATTAACACAATTTAAATCTATTATTATCTAGAAACAGATTTTTAATAAAAAAAAATTCTTTAGCTGGTCGTATCTACCAACGATTTAACATTTTAAACCGAAATATATGTTTATATTGAATCGAAGTGAGATTTAAAAAATATTAGATAAAGTGATGTTTAAAGCGGCCCTCACACGATCAATATATTATCAATATCTGAGTATTGACAATATTATTGAACGTGTGAGTAGAAATATTGACATATTGTCAATAAAAAATATTGATGTGATGGTTTGACGAAAACGAAAATTGTTGATATATTGACAGTCTGAGGGAGATATTGACAATCCTACGTTAGTAGGATTATATTACGGATTATATCGCATAATAATGCATTCAGACAGATATACTTTAATGGACGAAAGTGCTATTAACTCCCAGGATGGTTCATTAACACATGTATACATGACATGACATCTTTGACAGCTAACGCAAAACTAAATAGATTGTCAATAAATATTAATAGTCTGAAGCAATTACAGTGTGTCAATATTTATTGGCCATATTGACAATATTTTATTGACAATATACAGGGTGATTCACATAAGAACCGACACAGAGCAGGGACATGTAGAGGAGAATAAATTAAGATGATTTAACGTAACTTACCTCTATACTAAGTTGTACACCTGAGGAGTTATAATTAATCAAATTAAAGCTAAAACATTCCTGTTTAAGATGATGTATGAAACATGTTACATTGCATTATAAAATTTCTTAGATAATGTTAGCTTTTTGAACCTAATCTCTAAATGTTAATTGAAAGTTGAAATAAAGCTGGAGGTGTAATTTATGGAAGTTATGAAACGATTTTGGTATCAAATTAAAGCTGAAACATTCCTCTTTAAGACGATGTATTAAACATTATATGTTAGATTTAAAAAAATGTTCGATAAAGCGATGTTTTAGTTACCTATGTTTTCAACTTAATCTCAAAATGTCAATTCAATTTTAAAAAATCCTGGGAGAATTATTTATGAAAATTATGAAACGATTTTGGTACCAAACTAAAGCTAAAACATTCCTGTTTAAGATGGTCTATGAAACATGTTACATTACATTATAAAAATTTTTAGATAAAGTTAGGTTTTTGAACCTAATCTCTAAATGTCAATTGAAATAAAACTGGAGGTGTTATTTATGGAAGTTATAAAACGATTTTAGTATAAAACTAAAGCTGAAATATTTCTCTTTAAAATGATGTATTAAACATTTTGTTAGATTTAAAAAAATGTTCGATATAGCGATGTTTTAGTTACCTATGTTTTCAACTTAATCTCAAAATGTCAACTCAATTTTAAAAAATCCTGGAAGAGTTATTTATGAAAATTATGAAACGATTTTGGTATCAAATTAAAGCTAAAACATTCCTATTTAAGATGGTGTATGAGACATGTTACATTACATTATAAACATTTTTAGATAAAGTTAGGTTTTTGAACCTAATCTCTAAACGTCAATATAAATTGGAAATAAAGCTGGAGGTGTAATTTATGGAAGTTATAAAACGATTTTCGTATCAAATTAAAGCTGAAACATTCTTCTTTAAGATGATGTATTAAACATATTATGTTAGATTTAAAAAAATGTTAGATAAAGTGATGTTTTAGTTACCTATGTTTTCAACTTAATCTCAAAATGTCACCTCAACTTTAAAAAATCCTGGAAGAGTTATTTATGAAAATTATGAAACGATTTTGGTATCAAATTGAAGCTGAAATATTCCTGTTTAAGATGGTGTATGAAACATGTTACATTACATTATAAAATTTTTTAGATAAAGTTAGGTTTTTGAACCTAATCTCTAAATGTCAATTGAAAGTTGAAATAAAACTGGAAGTGTTATTTATGGAAGTTATAAAACGATTTTAGTATCAAATTAAAGCTGAAACGTACCTCTTTAAGATAATGTATTAAACATTTTATGTTAGATTTAAAAAAATGTTAGATAGTGATGTTTTTGTTACCTATGTTTTCAACTTAATGTCACAATGTCAACTCAACTTTAAAAAATCCTGGAAGAGTTATTTATGAAAATTATGAAACGATTTTGGTATCAAATTCAAGCTAAAACATTCCTGTTTAAGATGGTGTATGAAACATGTTACATTACATTATAAAAATTTTTAGATAAAGTTAGGTTTTTGAACCTAATCTCTAAATGTCAATTGAAATAAAACTGGAGGTGTTATTTATGGAAGTTATAAAACGATTTTAGTATAAAACTAAAGCTGAAATATTCCTCTTTAAAATGATGTATTAAACATTTTATGTTAGATTTAAAAAATGTTTAGATAAAGTAATGTTTTAGTTATCTATGTTTTCAACTTAATCTCAAAATGTCAACTCAACTTTAGAAAATCCTGGAAGAGTTATTTATGAAAATTATGAAACGATTTTGGTATCAAATTAAAGCTGAAATATTCCTGTTTGAGATGGTGTATGAAACATGTTACGTTACATTATAAAAATTTTTAGATTAAGTTGCGGTTTTTGAACCTAATCTCTAAATGTCAATTGAAATTTGAAATAAAACTGGAGGTGTTATTTATGGAAGTTATAAAACGATTTTGGTATAAAATTAAAGCTAAAACATTCCTCTTTAAGATGATGTATTAAACATTTTATGTTAGATTTAAAAAAATGTTAGATAATGTGATGTTTTAGTTACCTATGTTTTCAACTTAATCTCAAAATGTCAACTCAACTTTAAAAAATTCTGGAAGACTTATTTATGAAAATTATGAAACGATTTTGGTACCAAATTAATGCTAAAACATTCCTGTTTAAGATGGTGTATGAAACATGTTAAAAATTTTTAGATAAAGCTAGGTTTTTGAACCTAATCTCTCAACGTCAATATAAATTTGAAATAAAGCTGGAGATGTAATTTACGGAAGTTATGAAACGATTTTGGTATCAAATTAAAGCTGAAACATTCCTCTTTAAGGCGATGTATTAAACATTATATGTTAGATTTTAAAAAATGTTAGATAAAGTGATGTTTTCGTTACCTATGTTTTCAACTTAATCTCAAAATGTCAACTCAACTTTAAAAAATCCTGGAAGTTATTTATGAAAATTATGAAACGATTTTGGTATCAAGTTAAAGCTAAAACATTCCTGTTTAAGATGGTGTATGAAACATGTTACATTACATTATAAAATTTGTTAGATAAAGTTAGGTTTTTGAACCTAATCTCGAAATGTCAACTGAAATTTGAAATAAAACTGGAGGTGTTATTTATGGAAGTTATAAAACGAGTTTGGTATCAAATTAAAGCTGAAACATTCCTCTTTAAGATTATGTATTAAACATTTTATGTTAGATTTTAAAAAAATGTAGATAAAGTGACGTTTTAGTTACCTATCTTTTCAACTTAATCTCAAAATGTCACCTCAAATTAAAAAAATTCTGGAAGAGTTATTTATGAAAATTATGATTTTTGTACCAAATTAAAGCTAAAACATTCCTATTTAAGATGGTGTATGCAGTGGCGGCGCTAAACCAAACGTAGGCGTCGGCGACAGTACATTTACGAGGCCCTTTTCATATCCCACAAAATATTTGCTTTGATCGTTGGGACTGCACTAGTTGCCCCAAGTAGTTACTGCAGTATAAATGTAGTGTTTCAGTGCAGTTTTCGAAAAACTGACAGGTAACTGACTGTTCGAAAACTGCACTGAATTACTACATTTACACTGCACTGAATTGCTTCTGGCAACTAGTGCAGTCCCAACGAACAAAGCTATTGCTAGTTGCGTACTCTATTAGGCTAAGATTAAAACGCGGCTAGTTATATGATAAGTATATTTTCTATTAATTAAACAAAAACAATCACGCAAACGAACATAATAATAAGTAAAATTAAAGTAAACGAAATTTACGGCTTTTCGCTTCACTGAATTTTTTCAGTATTAATTCATAGTTTATATTTGCTGCTATTTCGGCTTCAATTGATAAAATTGATAGCGCAGATAATCTTTCTTGGCTCATTGTGTTTCTCAAATAGTTTTTTATTAATTTTAACTTTGAGAAGCTTCTTTCGGCAGAAGCCGTGCTGACAGGAATTGTTAGCATAATCCTAATAGATATGTAAACATTTGGATATATTTCCTGCAAATTATTTTGCACAATGTACTGTATTAGTTGTACTACATCTTGAACAGAGTCTGGCAAATTTGATTTTATAAGTTGAAGTTCTTCATAGAGTTCGAAAGGCTCTATGTCACTGTTCTCCCCATCCCTGAGAGTTGTACCAAGATCATTACAGTGCTTCAGAAGATTTTGTTTTGATAAAGATCTTAAATAATTGATGTCATAAATAAAACCAAATATTCAATTCGTTCGAAATATTCATTGAGAGATTTGAATCGACATTCTACGTCGACTATGATAGCGTCTACCATTGTGTTAAAAAAGTCAATTCTAAATCAAGTGTTAAGAAAATAATATTGATATTCTAATAGTGCAGCAAGATTTTTTTTAATCGACTACGAGGCCCCTTTGACCGCGAGGCAGTCGGCGATCGCCGGCATCGCCGACGCCTATCGCCACCACTGGCCGTGTATGAAACATGTTACATTACATTATAAAATTTTTTAGATAAAGTTAGGTTTGAACCTAATCTCTAAATGTCAATATAAATTTGAAATAAAACTGGAGATGTTATTTATGGAAGATATAAAACGATTCTGATATCAAATTAAAGCTGAAACATTCTTCTTTAAGATGATGTATTAAACATTTTATGTTAGATTTAAATTTTTTTTAGATAAACTGATGTTTTAATTACCTATGTTTTCAACTTAATCTCAAAATGTCACCTCAAATTTAAAAAATCCTGGAAGAGTTATTTATGAAAATTATGAAACGATTTTGGTATCAAATTAAAGCTAAAACATTCGTGTTTAAAATGGTGTATGAACATGTTACATTACATTTTAGATAAAGTTAGGTTTTTGAACCTAATTTCTAAAATTTAAGTATTATCAATTGCGTTCTCTTCTACTAAAATATTTTCAGATTTCTAGCACGTCCGGTTATACCGGAAGTCGCCACCTGCTTTATTTTTTTAAATGGAACACCCTGTATATTTTTACATAATTTGATTTGTCTGTTTTCAAGGTTTATGAATAATTTGAAAGTAATAAATTTTGTACTTTTACTGGTTAAAAACTATTTATTCATTAGAAGCTGACATGTTTCGATCTATTCAATTTCAAATTAGTATCAAAAATTCTAAAAATAATCATCAAAAAACAGGTTGTTAAACAACAAAGAAAATTGAAAAAGTTATACAAATAAGTGTTGAAAAATATAAAATTTATAATTATTATTACTTACGCAGTCTATTTATTAACTTAAAGTTAACATTTCAAAAAATTTTGTTTTTATACTATTTGTACAGAAAACACTTTAAAACTACGACGAATCCATAACATATTATTATCAGATTCAAATAATCCTCAGTACTAAATTCCAAACGTGGCATTTCTTTAGAACAGATCACTATAAAAAGTGATGCATATGTGTGTGCATTTTTCAAAAAACCCTAATTATCTCCCAAACTATAAATGTTAGGTATAGAACATATAGGATATAAAAGATGTAAAATGAGACACTGAAGACGACTAAGTAATAAAATATGGGGGGTGCCATTTAAAAAAATGAAGTTATGGTACTTCCAAATTTCGAAAAGTTAACGTGCCATAGTAAAGTGACCAAACGTTCTAGACAGCCTCGGTACCAAAACATACTCCATCATGTTGCTTACGCATGTTCTGAATCGTTAGGTTTTTGAACCTAATCTCTAAATGTCAATTGAAATTTGAAATAAAACTGGAGGTGTTATTTATGGAAGTTATAAAACGATTTTAGTATAAAATTAAAGTTTAAACATTCCTCTTTAAGATGACGTATTAAACATTTTATGTTAGATTAAAAAAAATTTAGATAAAGTGATGTTTTTGTTACCTATGTTTTCAACTTAATCTCAAAATGTCAACTCAACTTTAAGAAATCCTGGAAGAGTTATTTATGAAAATTATGAAACGATTTTGGTATCAAATTAAAGCTAAAACATTCCTATTTAAGATGGTGTATGAAACATGTTACATCACATTATAAAATTTTTTAGATAAAGTTAGGTTTTTGAACCTAATCTCTAAACGTCAATTGAAATTTGAAATAAAGCTGGAGGTGTAATTTATGGAAGTTATAAAACGATTTTGGTATCAAATTAAAGCTGAAACATTCCTCTTTAAGATGACGTATTAAACATTTTATGTTAGATTTACAAATTTTTTAGATAGAGTGATGTTTTAGTTACCTATGTTTTCAACTTAATTTCAAAATGTCAACTCAACTTTAAAAAATCCTGGCAGTTATTTATGAAAATTATGAAACGATTTTCGTATCAAATTAAACCTAAAACATTCCTGTTTAAGATGGTGTATGAAACATGTTACATTACATTATAAAATTTGTTAGATAAAGTTAGGTTTTTGAACCTAATCTCTAAATGTCAATATAAATTTGAAATAAAACTGGAGATGTTATTTATGGAAGATATAAAACGATTCTGATATCAAATTAAAGCTGAAACCTTTTTCTTTTGAACCTAATTTCTAAAATTTAAGTTCTCTTCTACTAAAATATTTTCAGATTTCTAGCACTTCCGGTTATACCGGAAGTCGCCACCTGCTTTATTTTTTTAAATGGAACAAGGCAAAAAAAAATTATAGAGCCACAAATAATCTTTCAAAGAGCCGCATTTGCCCACCGTTGACATATAGGATATAAAAGATGTAAAATGAGACACCGAAGACGACTAAGTAATAAAATATGGGGGGTGCCATTTAAAAAAATGAAGTTATGGTACTTCCAAATTTCGAAAAGTTAACGTACCGTAGTAAAGTGACCAAACGTTCTAGACAGCCATGCTTGGTACCAAAACATACTTCATCATGTTGCTTACGCATGTTCTGAATTCTAAATTGGATATCCTAAAAATCGAGTGTTCTCTGACTTTTTTTAACAAATCTGCTGGAGCCTTTGATTATATATAATATGGATTGAGCTAACTGAATATATATACTAACAAAAATGTTGCTCAAGGTGAATAGACGCAGATGGAAAGCGATAATGTGAAAGTGTAACAAAGATAGATATATTATATGTCAGTACGCTTCTATATCTATCTCACTTCTATCAGTACACCCATTATATGGCAGTACGCTTCTATATCTATCTCACTTCTATCAGTACACCCATTATATGGCAGTACGCTTCTATGTCTATCTCGGTTCGATCACCTTGCGCAAGCTATCTCTCTCGTTGGCTCAATCCATATTATATATAATCAAAGGCTGGAGCAGATTTTTCTAGAAAAATTCGAATAACTCGAGAATGACCGAATCAAATTGCAAAAAGTAAAGTTATTCATAAACCTTGAAAACAATCAAATCCAAATATGTAAAAATATATAGGGTGTTCCATTTAAAAAAATAAAGTAGGTGGCGACTTCCGGTATAATTGGAAGTGCTAGAAATCTGAAAATATTTTAGTCGAAGAGAACGCAATTAATAATACTTACAACTGAATTTTCAAATTCTTGTTTTAGCCAGAACCCTGTAAAGTTCTAATGGACGGTCGTCGTGGATGAACCTGTATAAGTTTTCCACTTAAACCTTAATAAACAGTAGGATTAAAAAAAAGGATATAAAAGTGCTTTAATTCTTTATTTAATTTACAATCACTATCAAAGTGCACTTGTATTTTCACGGAATGAATTAAATTCGTAATTATAGTCACATTTACTAGTCACATAATCATATAATTATTATCATATAATAATCAATCTTGAATGTCTAAGTATGGCAAGAATAAGACATAAAAAAGCGGAAATTTAAAACCATAATTGTAAATTACACTATAAACAAAAAAATCTACATTAATAAATTAATTTATATAAAAATATGTTCTACCTAATCGAATTAAAAATTAAGCTATTAAAAAAAATGAAGAAAAAAAGATGATATATCACACAGTATCGACCGATATATTTATTCGAAAAACAGAGCTATTATCAGATAGGCTCTCTTTAATATTATTCTCAAATTTTTCACTAATACTAGAAAACTCCATCATATTTTTCGGTTTACATTCAATCCAATAACGGTCAAACTCGTAAAATAAATAACTATAAAACTGATGAAATAATCTAATTGTAGGTAACGTTTTAGAAACATTATAAAAGTAAGTTTTAGCATCCCCACTTTTTAATAATTTCCATGCCATATACGTTAAATTAATACCAACAATAGCAAAACAATATCCATGTTTTGGATGATTTGCATGAGACAAAACATGTAATGCCGGTCCATTATATTCAGTTGCAAAAAACAATAAATTATCTAAACCTAAAATTCCCATCCCACGAAAATCCGTCTTTGGATCATCCCCTTGAAATCCAATATCTTGCCATTGTTTAGTAACTCTTCCATCAAGTTTTACATACGGCATCAATTTCTCCCATAACAAAAACAATTTTTCTTCATGATCATTATTATCAGAATCATAAGCCGTTGTTCTTTGTTCTTCCACAATAGCTAATAACTGCCTATAACCCCAAATTTGCTCAACACATTTGCTGAACGAACTAACAAATTGAAAATGTATCCGAGGATTAATCTTTTTCACCAAAATCACCGTATTCACCGCACCGTTTAAAATTTCGCGCTCATTAGCACCCGTTAAACGTTTATTTTCACTTATATCGTTCAAGTGATTTATTAATTGTTTAATAAGGGGACTTCTCGACAATTCTAAGGATCTTTCGATTCCTTTTATTCTCGGAGCCCCGGATACTTCACCATAACAAATACGTTGAAGCTCACATAAACCGGTGGTTTTCCGTAGAAACCATTTGATTATCGGCCGAAAAAATAACGTCAGATATAACCATATCGCGTACATCATCGTTAATTCGTTAATTACATCACAAATCAGCAAAATTGACGTAAATCGTGGACATTTTTTAGGTTATGTTTGGTTAAATTTGACGTTTCATTTTGACGTTTGTTTGTATTTTAGTTTAGTACGTGATAATACCGTTATGTCAATATAAAATGGCGCTGTTAATGTTATATTTATTAAAAAAAATTAAATAAACTTACCATTTTTAACGATGATTTTTAATCTGAAACAAAATAATAAAATAAATATATGATTTAGATATAAAATATCAAGATTACCAAATAAAAAATTTATTTTTAAAAGTATTTAATTTTTGAAATATTAATGTAAAAATTTATTCGATATAATTAAATAACTACTTATTTATACATTTTATAATTAAATTATAATAAAACATAAATGAATTTGATTGGAATGTATGGAATTCAAATATAATAAATTAAAAATGTCATCGTAAGATGACGCCACATTACATAACCTAAAAGGAATTTCTCAAAATTTGACATTCCTAAACATATAACAGATTTTCTTGATTATTCGGTTCGTAACGGAATAGAAATGGGTGGCAAACACAAACAGGCGCAGAGAACTAAAAACAACGCACGAGTAAGTCTAATTTTAGTCGATTAGTGTTGTAATTTGTTACAAAAACATTTCTAACCTCTAGCCATCGAGCTCGGGTCGCAGCGCTGAACTACTTGGTAGTACAATACCCCAATTCACAGGTTTCTCGACTATTAAAGAAACCCCATACGTTTTTCCCTCTTACGGTTCTGGTATGGAAGAAATAAATGTGAATATCGATTCATCTTTTCAACTTGTTTTGAAGAAAATGAGTAAGAAAGATTCAACGACAAAGTTAAAGGCGCTTCAGGAATTTACAGAATTAGTAACGTCTTCTGAACAAGAAGCTGTAAAAGCTGTATTAGTGTTTTGGACAAGGATTTATTGTGTATTGGCTACAGATACGGAACATAAAGTTCGTGAAGCTACCCAAATTGCACATTATCAAGTTGTTTTGAAAGTTAAAAGAAATCTTGCGCCACATTTGAAGCAATTAATCGGGCCATGGTTTACATCCCAATACGATACTTACGCTCCAGCTGCTTCAGCGGCTATAAAATCAATCGAAGATGCTTTCCCTAAGAATAAAGCACAAGAAGCCATCGTGTTCTGCCAAGAAGAAATATTGACTTATATTTACGAAAACTTAATGGTGCATACATCAAAAAGTTTAAATGTAACAAATGTTTTAAAAGAAGATGCTGATGCTAAATACGAACGGGTGGTTATTTCAAGTTTGATGGGTTACGCTTTGTATTTGGATAAATTGGATAAAGAACAAATAGAGAAAGCTAAAGAAAAAAATTTAATGATTACCTCAAATCAAATTTTTTGGAAGTTTTGTAAGAATGAAGCCGTACCGATTAGAAGTGCTTGGTATAATGTTTTAAAATCGCTTTGCCAAAAAGTTCCTGAGTTTATAATCAACAATTCAAAGGAAGTTGTTAATTCTGTGTTTCAGAATTTAGATGAGAGTGAACCTACCGTTTTATTTGCAGTTTGGGAGGCTACTTTACTTGTTATAACAACAGTTGAGGTAATAATTATAAATATGGGAAAAGAACTAAAAACATTTGGGTTTAATAACTAATAACAACTAAAACTAGAGCTAATATACAGGTGTCCAAAAATGACGTGTAAAAATATGAAGATTTAACTAATCTATATGCAAAATTGCTTAGTATAGCCATTAAAGGGCTTTAAAAATTCATGATGAATCAAAAATAAAACGAAAAATATGAATACTGCTAACAAGTTTAAGTGACATAAGCTGTTTTTGTTTTTAAAATTGATCATACCTAGCCAACTATTAAAAAAACGTTATTAGTGTTATTACTACACCTTACATCACTGATTCGCGCTTGTGGGGATTTAGAAAATATTTTTTTGTGGCTAAAACTGTTCATTTAACTGAAATTAAACTATTCAGAAAAAAAATAATGGTAGTGTTTATACAGGGGGTTAAAAAAATATGGCTTCATAATAATTTATTGTGACAAAGTTTTTAAACACCCTATAATTTTCAAAATTAGTGTTTATTCCACAAATAGCTGTATAGTCTACTGATAGAAACGCATGACCAAAAAATGAATAAAATCCAATTACTTATTTAAAAAAATTTAAAAATAAATATTATTTTTAAAGCCCTCTAGCGGCTAAACTAAGCAATTTTGTATATGGATGAGTTAAATCATCATATTTTTGGTTAAGGTACTTGTGGTCTTCTGTTGTACACGTCATTTCCGGACACCTGTATACAGGCTGGTTCAGTTTTTAATTGGAAAATTTTACTAACCATAAGATGTAGTACTTGCCAAAATAACACAAGTTTTTTGTATAAACATGGGATCACAAGTCTTTTGTTTTCGATCTATGAGCTGTCAAAGTTGAGCCAAAAATTTACGTTTTCTTTTGTATTTTGGCTGTAAGTAAACCGTAGAATTTGAAACTTTGTACGTATTTACTACTGGTTAAGACCTTATTTTCAAGCATAGCTTACACTTCCCTAGCGCCGAAGGGGGTGAAAAGGGGGTGAAAAATCAAGGGGGTGATGAAATTCACCACCCCCTTGATTTTTTTTATAAGAACTTTTTAACACTATGGAATATTAGCATAAAAAAATATGGGTTGTAAAGCTCATTGTTTAGTGTCTAGTTAGCTCATGTTTAGCTAAGATTATTCTAAAAGTTGGCTCTGAAAACATGTAAGTTTCATTTACGCAGAATCCTCATAATTGTTGTTGATTATCAATAATTTTTGACTTATCAAGAAAGAGTATCAATTTTTTAATATTGTTTAAAACAACATAATTTGTTGAGACAGAGATTCATCTTATTTACGGTTTTTCTTATGAAAATCACAATTAATTGTTGTTATTTAGTTAGAACTAGATCCTAGTAAGTGCACAACTTCCATAGCCAGCTATAAAGAAAAAAACTTTTTCAATAATAGCATCGCTTTACAGTACAATGTAGCATATTTTAAATTTCATCCCCTTAGAGGGCGCTAGGGAAGTTACATACATACATACATACATACAAAATTTCAAGTTCTACGGTTTACTTATACCCGAAATAAAAGATAAAATGTAAGTTTTTGGCTCAACTTTGACAGCTCATAGCTCGAAAACAAAAGAGTTACGACCGTATGTTTATACAGGGTGCGGTAAAACTCCCTCCCTAATTTGAAGGTTGAATAAAAAACAGATGGTAAAAATTAACGAAACTGTATTAACATGAATGGAATCTACAGAATGAGGAAGAATGGGGAAGTTAAGTTATTATGTTTTACAAGTTTCTTTTTTTGAACAGTATATCGCTCAAGTGTTTTGTGAGTAACAGTCCGTTAACTCGGATCGATACATTCAAATGCTTCAAACTTTTATGGCACCACGACTCAATGCGCTACAGATTCAACAGGATGTGTGGTTTCAGCAGAACGAGGTCACTGCTCACACAAGCAGGAGATCTCTTCAAGAACTGAGGCAGGTGTTCCTAGAACGCTTGATGTCTTTGCGCGGAGACATCCACTGGCCAGCACAATCCCAGACCTTACTCCCAGTGATTTTTTTCTACGGGGGTTTCTTAAGGCTGTAGTTTACAAACGTCGGCCCTAGACTCTGCCACTCCTAGGACAAGTGAGTCAAGAAAAGATTGCTCGTATTCCTCAAGAAATGTTGTTTAGCATAATGGCGAACTTCTAAACTCGGATTCGACAATGCATTGATAACGAAGAAAATGACTTGAGCGGAAAAAAGGAACTTGTAAAACATAATAACGTAACTTCCCATTCTGCAAATTCCATTCATGTTAATACAGTTTCGTTAATTCATACCATTTGTTTTTTATTTAACCTTCAAATTAGGGAGGAAGTTTTCCCGCACCCTGTATAAAAAACTAATGTATAGGCAAGTACTACATCCTAGTAAAGTTTCCCGATTAAAACCTGAACCATCCTGTATACAGGGTGTGTCAAATGTCTGTAATATAGACAATAACTTCGCCATTTGTGGTTTTAAAGAAAAATGTTCCAAATAAAAAAATCTTTATTAATTGTGGCACATTTTTTGGCGATATTTACTTGTTTATATTTTAAATGGGATGCATATGTTTTTTTGCATATTTTGATAGAGGATAAATCCCTCTACGCGATGAACATAAGAAAAAAATCGAGAAAAAAATTCGTTCTCTAAAAATATTAAATCAGCAAATTACAATCAAAGTAGACGCCGAAATAACGCTGTTGACAGCTTAAAATGTCAAAAAATTGACAGTTTAAAGAAATATGGCGCAATTAAGCGAACGACAAAGTATCCAAATATTAATTCAATTAAAATTTTATTCAAATTCGGTATACGGAGGTTTTTTGGCATGAGAAAGACGATTATGGATTCCGTTTTATTATAGCCGGTAGAGGGCGCTCTGTAACGTATTCTTTACGGATTAAAATAACAATAACTTTTCTGACAGTATACTTTTTGGCTTTTTAAATAAAAATTCTCATTCTCGGTACTTTTTTAAGCAAAAACGGTGCTCTTATCAAAATGCGCTAAAGTTGATCGTTTTCAAGATAATCTGCTTTTTATTATTCGATATAGACCATTTTTTTTAGAGGATTGTGAAAGACATTTATAATAATGTTTGCCATTGAAACAAAATAGGTAACTAATGTTTTAGTTTATTGTATCAAGTGTCAAATCACCAGTAGTTGTTGATCAGTGTTAAATTAATTTTTCTTATTCTTTAACGTGTTAAATTCAATTTTCTTGTTTATTAACGTGCTAAATTCATTACTCTTTTTCCTAATCGTGTTAAACTGTTTTTTTTTCATTTTTTAATTTTTTGTTTGCTGTATAAAAACTTTATAAATTCATTTTGTTTATGGGTAATGGGTTTTATGGGGTGTATATGGAAATTCAGCAGAAGTAGTCCTAGAGTATAGGAGAAGATATCCAAATAGAAGACATCCGCATCCTTCTGTGTTTGTGAAAGTGCATAGACAAATAGTTGAACAAGGGCTAAATAATGATAGGTAGATCGTAATAATGACAATGTTAGAGTGCAAAGAGGCTTTAGAAGAAGAATTTTGCGTGAGTTCGAGGGCGTCTCTCCAGAGGTGGCGTCTCTGGGTCTACGAGTGTTAGAAGAGTTTCGAATGCCTTACGAATATCTACGGCGCGTCTTTATCGCCTTTTAAAACATGATCATAGACATGCTTATCATTTACAACCCTTGCAAGGATTGTAACGTTTTGTCGGTGGATTCGCTAAAGCATCAGCCAACAATTGAGATTTTTTAAATGTAATGTGGAACGATGAATCGTGTTTCACAAGACTTTGCATTGTAAACTTTCACAATTTACATGTTTTGGTATCCCTACGCAATTCGGCGACGAAACTTCCAACATAAATTTGGTGTCAACGTCTGGGTAGCTGTTTATAATAATCATCTTTTCGCCCTATACTTTTTGCCACCACAACTAACCGCTGCGGCTTTCTTGTAATTTTTGGTAGCTGAACATGCCAATATGTGGGATGACATTGATTTAGCTTTAAGAAGAAACGCCTGGTGTCAACTTGATGGTTGTCCACCTCATCATAGTAGGATGGTAAGAAATTGGCTAGACAACCTTTCCTTTAAAATGGATTGGTCGTGGCGGACCAGTCGCATGAGCACCACCATCTGCAGGTTTTAATTCAATGGAACGAACTTATTAATAGGATTAGGAATGCTTGTAATGACATCAGGCCGTTTTTAAATACCATTACTTTCTCTATTTTTTTCTTTTATTATTTAGATTATTATTTGACACGTGATATAATGAACTAAAACATTAGTTAGTTAACTAATGTTATCTACTTTGTCTCCATGACATACATTGTTTTAACTATCTTTAATTATACTCTTAAAAAAATGGTCTATATGGAATAATAAAAACCGGATATTCTTGAAAACGATCGACTCTAGCGCATTTTGATAAGAGTAGGTAACCTTTCTGCTTAAAAAAGGACAGGGAATAAGAATTTTTATTCAAAAAGCCAAAAAGTATACTGTCAGAAAAGTTATTATTATTTTAATCCGGAAAGAATACGTTAGAGAGCACCCTCTACCGGCTATAGTAAAACGGACTCCATAATGGTCTCGTGTCTTTCTTATGCCAAAAAACCTCCGTTTCTCAAATTTGAATAGAATCAGTTGAAATACTAAATGTGTATTTCACTATATTAAATATTGAGATTAAATATTGTATATAGTAGAAACCACGAGAGCTGGCAGTGACAGATCGCTTAAAAATGGTATGAATCAAGATATGGACGTACGACTTAGATTATTTCACCACATACATTTAAATGTAGGTTATGTTAGTAATGGAGGTTATATGTCAAACATTGTCAAAGATATTATTTAATGATTTTCCTTTCAAAGAAAACATTTTCGGCTTGTGAAAACACTGACAGATTCATGACAACGCTCACAAGCCGTTTCGATTTGAGGTTATAATTATAGAGTTACATCCCTTAGAAGAACAGACGTACTTTTTCGACGTGGCTATTTGAATTGTACAGCAGACATATTAAACTAATGCTATCTCTTTCTAACACACATTACTCTCTAGCGGTTTGTGAACTACGTATGCCATTTGTAAGAGCGGAAAATGATGATTTACTGCCAGCTCTCGTGGCGTCTACTATATTAAATAAAAATCAATTAAAAAATTTAATTTGAACCCTCAACATATGTTCCATCGTCTACCAAACCTTTTCGCACAACCGACACTACCTCCCCACATCATCCGCCAAATACCTGTTCGCTCTCTCCTTATTACCACACCGAAATCTGGCTACCAACCCCTTCCCTTCCTCACTCCCGTCCTTCACCAAGTATTTTGAAAGTCCTTCCGTCATTATGTCTCCATATCTTTCCTCTCTTATCTGCGTCCTTCTCTCCTGCCTATGGACGTTCCTATCTCTGTCACTTATCTTCCCCCACATCAACACCCCTTCCCTTCTTCTGTTGTTTATCTCTGCCTCCGAATAACCTGACCTTTTATAATATTCCTTCCTCTCTCCATTACCATATCTAATCTTCCAATTCCTAACTTCCTTCCAACGCTCCCCCAAGATTCCGCAGTATGGTCTTTTATCTATTATTTTTTCATATTTAATTGCTCTTCTGCCCGCCTCCACCCTCATTTCATCCACTTTCACTTCCTTCCTCACAATATACCCCGGTGTCTATCTCTCCAGACCCAGAACTCACCTCCAGTACCGATTCTGTACGTCCTCCAGAATATCCTGCCTCTTCCATCCCCAAACTTTCGTCCCGTACATCATTGCATTCCTCACCAACCCATCAAACATGATCTTTCTCTTTCTGATGTCCCTTCCAAACACTCTGTCATCCCATCACCTTATTTGCCCTTTTAGCCATCTCCCTCACATGCGCCGCGTCCTTGCTATCGCCCCTGTACCAGTACCCCAGATAAGTTAATTCTCTCACCTCCTCAATCTCCATCTCCATTCTTCCCTCTTTTTCACCTCCAACTTCTTCGCCGTTGGAAATAATTTACAATGTATAATCTAAACGCGTGTGTCTAGCGCAATGAAATTTGGTATGGAGAGCGGCGCAACTCTGCCACTTCGGTCTCTATAGCGACAGAATGTTCCACTTGGAAGGGCGGCTCAGTCAACAATGCCGAGACAGAAAAACTTGAAACTCGCTAAATAAACTCGTCTACAGTAAACCTTTATGCTCCGCAAATATTATGGATTTATCTTCACGCGTTCAGATTATACAGGGTGTGCTCGTGAATTATTTCCAACAGTGTAGCTCTCCAAGTCTCTCACCATCCCTCTCATTTCCGTCGCATTCTTCGCCACAACCACCATGGCATCTGCGTATGCTAGCACGTTAATCTTTCTTCCTTCCATCACCACTTCTATTTGTCCCTTCTCCAGCCTAGCTTCCAAATCTGCCGTATACAGGGAAAAAAGGCTGGGGCTCAGTAGACATCCCAGTCTCAGACTCCTCCCTGTCCAAAACGCTTCGCTCATCGCTTTTCCTACTCTAACTCTAGCTGTCGTTTCTCTGTATATCTCCTTCAAACTCCTCCTGTCCATCTCCTCCCACAACTTCTCCATATCCACCTTTTGAATGCCGTCTTCAAGTCTATGAATAGGGCATACAAAAAACGTTATCGATCGCCCCTCTACCTTTCCTAAAACCTGCCTATCCATCCAGCAACATCTCCTCTATCTCAATCTCTTCCTCCAATCTTCCCAGCAGTATCTTCGCATAAATGTGGTATGAGGAGTTGAGTAGGCTGATTCCCCTTCACTGCTCTCTTACTTCCCTTTTTGTCTACTGAACATATTATACCCATCCTTCAACCGTTTGGAAACTCTTCCGCCCTCTACACATTGTTCAACGTCTCTAACAGCTTCCCTCTCACCTTTCCTGTCGCCGCCAACCATACCTCGTTCTGTACCTCCCCCGGTGCCTTTCTCCTCCTCAACCCCCTCAAAAATGTTGTCAAATCTTCCTCAGTTGTCTCCTCCTCCGTGACTGCCTGCCTATCATCTACCCTTCCCAACAAATTCATAAAGTGACTCCTTCATTCTGCCATCTATACTATATCGTTACTGAACTCCTCCTTTCCCTTCCTCCTAATAACAACTAAAATTAGAGCTAACAAATATAATAGATTTTTAATGAAATTGAATAATTTTGTTATAGAATTGGTGGACATACGTCAGCATAGAAAAATTAGTTCTTCCAAAACTATATAAATTACTTCGTGAAGCAGGACGAGGAAATGCTACGATGATATTCCCAAATTTATTACCTTTATTATCAAATTTACCACCGACGATAGATGCGGAAACATTTTATTTCAAATATTTTGATAACCTCCAAACAGGATTAAAATTAAAAACCACGATTTCAATCAGATCAGAATCCACAGCAATTTGTACAACGTACATGGAATGTTTACAATATTTAATAATGAAAAATCAATCCAACATGTATTTATGTGAAAAATTAATTAAAACCGAATTACTTCCAATGATTGAATGGGGTTTAATGGAAAATCAATCCGTTTATAAATCATTATTTAATCAAATTTCAAATTTAGTCCAATATTGGCATAGAAATCGAAACGAAACCGATTTTTCTAATTACGGAAAATATTTAGATTATTTTTGGAGTAACGTTCAATCGTTATTCGAAGGGTTATTAATGAACGAGGAGCAAAGTCGCGAAAAAAACGCTTTATCCGAATTGGCACTGAAACAAATTGAATTTTTAATGTCCTTGAAACACATTTCGAAACCAAAAAAGCAAATGAAAGTGCAATTTACAGAAAATTTAATCACTACGGAACAAAGTACCATTAAATCAAAAGAAAAATGTGATGAAACTTATTTAGATGCGTTAAACGGCTTGGTTTTTAAACTTTGCGAGTTGTACGTTAACGTTATAAATGAGAGGCTTTCTAAAGAATTAGTCGAGCATTTATACAGTGTTATTACCGAATTTGAAAATAAAAACTTTTTCTTTAAATTAAACGAAGTAATCAATAAAGATGGTGCTCTAGTAGATTTATACGATAATTTATTATCGAAATGGTTAAATTCCGGGTATATTTGTACCGAATCTGTGGTTGGATTGGTTTTTATTTTATTAAAATATTGCGAAAATAAAGATAAATTAAAGATATTGGAATCTTTCGAAACTGTATGTTTTATTTTATTTTAATTAAATTAATTATTAATTAAATTTGTTTTAGTTACCAATGGATCGTTTCGGTTGGTGCTTACAAAGTGCTTTATCTCATCCTTATAATCAAGACGATGTTATTCACGAATGGTTGAGTAATCCGAAAGTTGATGAGTACTTAGTGAAATTAGCCCAAGATATTGTTAATTCAGAAAGCGAAAATGATGCGAGTAATTTGTTAAAAATGGCTTTTACTGAAGGAGAACAAGGCGAATTATTCGTTAGTAACTCCACCGTTCAAAAAATCATCGAAATTCTCACAAAATGCTTAAAATCCCCATTAGAACATATGCACTCTTTAGATAACACCGGCAGTTTCACCGCTTATCTTTGTTCGATTTTATATACAGAGAATAATAAATTAAAATACGGAAGTGATTTATTAAAAGAAATCTTTAAATTACTTTGTAACGCCAAGTACGAAAAAGATACAATAACAAAAGATACAATTTGGGAATTGCAAACTTCCGTTTACGATTCAATCGAGATTTTATGCGGCGTCGTTTCGATTGATGAGGTAAAAGAAATTATTTTGGACTTCTCAAAAATAATTGAAACGAAATTATTCGGTTCTAATAAAAGGTTGGATATCGAATCGGTTTATAATTTAATTATGGGGTTAATTAAAAGTGTTAAAACGTCTGATGAACAAATTTATACCGCCGAGTTGTTGTTTGATAAAGAATTTATAAACGATTGGAGGAAAAAAATTGTTGAAATGGGAACTGTTGGTGAATATATTAATGGGAAATTATCATCACCAAATGAAAAACTTAACGTTTCCTCAGACCAAATTAATTTGGAGAATTTATTAATGTTTTCTGAATATTTACTTTTAAAATTAAAAATTTATTCTACCTGTCTTGCTAGGTTTAATTTAATTTTCGAACCAGATGAGGTAACTAATGAAGTTAATATTAATGAATTAGAAAAAGAAAAGGAAGATTACGAAGAAGAAATTGATGATGATATTGATCCAACTTTAGTAATCGAACAAACAACGGATGATTTCGATATTTTATGCCACCTTTTATATGATTACACCCTTATCGCAACAATTTTAGACAATTATAAATGCACGGATATTTATGACCAATTACAAGATGTTTCAATAACTTGTTTTGTATATCTTGAAAGTATCATAAAAAAACTTGATGATATTAACGAATATTTATTGATGAAAATCGAGCAATGTTGGTTATGGGAAAAAACGATTTATGATTATAACGTTTTATTTAAAAACCAATCGAAATTAGGTTTTTATAAATGGTATAACGATCGAAGTAAATTGTATAATATTTCTTGGAAAAATATAATCGGGGATATCCCATCGAATAATCGTTTAAAAACCAAAGTGCCTTTAATAGAAGAAATTGTAGCTTTTAGGAACTTTTCGAAAGGGGAAAATATGGAGAAAGTTGATGAGTTATTTTTGAAAATTGAAGATTATAAAAAAAGCGTTGGGGAAGAATTTTATGGATTGTATAAATGAGTATAAATGGATAAAATGAGTTCACAATATAATAATTTATTTTTAGAAACTTTGCCATATGGAGTGATACAGAGAAATCAACCGAAATCTTGCGTTTTTGCATAGAAGTCTTAGACAATTTCGATATTGACAACTTAAACGATCAACATTGGGATTTCATTATAATATCATTAACATCATGGGCTTTAAAAATTTCCGATATCAAAGTTGTCTATAAAAACATCCAGGTAATTATAGCTCCCTTTGTCCCAAATTATGATATACATTTCTCTTTACAATTTGTCCCAAATTATGGGATACAAAACTTTGAAAACTGCTTTATTATACAGGTTTTTCTAAATGAATATCGGGGTTTTAACACTTTGTAGTATTTATTACATGAAACTTCAAATCATAATTAAGACATGAAATAAAAGTTTTGCTGCCAAATGTAGTTATTTGGTTCGTCTTCTACCAATTGGATAAATAAGCATACTTGTAGAGCATGAAGATAGGAAATACCAGTCACAGTTGCTTCTACAAAAAAAAAGGCCCATACACTTTCCGCCGAGATATGGCATAAAAACATTCAATTTCAACTCGTTGAAATTCGACAATCTTGTGAGGATTTTTTGATCCCCAGATGCGCGCATTATGAGTGTTTACACATCCGCTGATGTGAAATGTGGATTTATCACTGAAAACAACATGATTTGTAGGCCTTAGAGCCTGTAATAACCGTAATAACTGAAAACGATACGGACGTAGTTGTAAGTGTTTCCGTAAAACTTTCTAGCGCATGCTCACAGGCCTTCTAGCGCATGCGCATATTTACAAACAAAACTGTTTAAGTAACTCTATCATTTCATATACAGGATGGTCCATTTACCGTGAGACAAGCTAATATTTCGAAAACGGTTTATATAAAATTTTATATAAAAATGAACCAAATGAAAGTTGTTCTGTGCGAAGGGGGAACCATATGGCGATAACATTTTTTTTCATTATTATTTATTTATTTATTATTAACACTATAGGCACAGAAACGGAACGAACCCACAAACTCTGTACTACAAAATAATACAAAAACAAATCACTAAAAAACAATGTTAAACCAAAATTACATTAACAGCGCAACGAGTTAATTGAGATAATAATAATAAAAATAAAAGTATTGACTTTATAATAACAAGACATTGCAAAAAAAGAAAACGCAAATTAAACTTCATTAACGAATTACTTAAATTAATTGAATTTATTGATCAGCTTTAAGTTTAGAATATGCAATTACCAAACGTTTAAATTCCCTACGTGAACTACTGAAGACATCAACCCCGCGTTGCGATGAAAATGATCACAAGTTTGTGCCATTCTCAGCATAGGAGAATTCTGAAAGACATTCGTGCGAGGAATGGGAGTGTGAAATATACAATCGAATCGAAGCAATCGGGGAGGAACTATTACGTATATTAACCTCTTAAGCGCTTTTTACGTCGAGCGTATGTGGACAAACAACCTGGTGTGCGATTCGTTTTGACGCATGCGAACATATTCGTCACACCCATAATCTTTATTTTTAAAATCGTCATGCTCACTGCTTAAAAAATGAATTACAGTTTCTGCTTATTAGGTTTATTTCATTATTAAAACAACACATTATTTTCCTCATTGGTACAAACGCTCTACCATTAGAGTTGTTAAAGAGAAGCTACGTTTTCACAAAAAATGGAAATCCTCAGGTCATCACAATGATTACTTGACTTTCGCTATCTTACGATCTAGATCAAAGAGATTAATAGCTATTGATTACAGAGCCTATCTGAATTCCGTTCAGACGGGGGTGTCCGGGAACCCGAGGGAGATCTGGTCCTTCATTAATTCGAAAAAGGGTTCTGCGTCTGGCATGCCAGCATCCATGATTTCTGCTGATGGATCGACTGTGAACGGGTCCTGATATCTCATCTGCGTTCGGAGAGTACTTCTCATCGGTTTTTGTAGATGGCACCATCGATCGTTCAGCGATTCCCGGTGGTACGGGTGTTGCACCTTGGTTTTCTGTGGATGCGGTTCTTAACATTCTGTCACACCTTGACAAGTCATCTAGCCAAGGTCCAGATGGTATTCCTTCGTCCTTCCTGAAGGAGTGAACTGTCTTCACCCCTGTAATTAATTTTTTCGAAGTCATTACTTGAAGGGGCATTTCCGAGCAAGTGGAAGACGGCTTTCGTCGTCCCAATTTTTAAATCCGGCGACAAGCAGTTGGTTTCAAATTACCGCCCGATTTCTATTCTCTCGGCTATTCCCAAGGTTTTTGAGAAAATTGTCCAGGAATACTTTAGCCAGTCGATTACTCACTCTTTTATTCATGAACAACACGGTTTCTTGCCCGGACGATCGACTGAGACTAATTTGGTATCCTACGNAAAATATGGAGAAAGTTGATGAGTTATTTTTGAAAATTGAAGATTATAAAAAAAGCGTTGGGGAAGAATTTTATGGATTGTATAAATGAGTATAAATCAGGTTTGGGCATTTTTGCACTACCACTGTTCATATAGTAATAGTTAAAATGCAAAATTCATTGTCACTGAAAATTTAGTCATAGTGAAAAAAAATCCACTATCACAAAACTTTTAGTGAAACATGACATTTGAATTTATAATTCTCAACCTAATAATGACTAATAGATGAAAAAAATTGTAGTAAAAGTTTTTTAGTTTCATAGATATCCGATATAATTGGCGACATCTAGATAATGTGTTTCCTGGAATATGGATACGTCGAGATGGTAAAATAGTTTGGTCATAGTTACTCATGGCTACTGGTATTTTCATCATGTCAACAAATCTGAAGTAGTTAAACTTTAAGTAATTTTTCTCGAAAATTTTCTTATGTAAGCAATATTAATATTGACTGTACTAGATTCAGAAAAAATCTGCTTTCATATTCCGTAATAAAAATGGCAGATTCCCGTTTGAAAAAAATACCAATGTCGTCATAACTCGCTTAAAAATGGCGGAAGAAATTTAAAAGCTACACCAAACAATTTTATTGCAAAAAATTTGAATCTTTAGACCCGTTTCAGGGATGTTTCCATAAATCGTTTATAATGATTTTATCGCCTATATTCGTTACTTTACGGACATACTGTATATTGTATATTTAAATAATTCTCCTGTACTGAGTAATCACACGCGGTAGAAAAGTGTTATTTATTTAAACTTATCATTTTCCAGAAATATCTACACATATTTCGATTTTTATAAGATTTTGCAACATTTTCCAAATATATCTAGAGATTTTGCAACAATTTCCTAAAATGTTCAAATATCTCCTGTTATTTCTGAGTGAATCGAAAGCTTTTAAAGGATATTTACAGAAATTGTACCAATTTCCAAGAATATCCAAGAAAACAAGATATCCATACCTAGGATTTTAACGATTCTCAAAGATTCATGTAAGCATTTCCAAGTATTCCCATAAGATTTTCAAAGATACCATCCGAATTTCTCAGGATTTTTGAGGAATTCAACGAGTTTCCAGAGATTTCTATAGATATTCAGGTTTTCTAAAAGGTTTTATGAACATTTCCAAATACATCCTAGGATTTTGTAGCAATTTTCTAAAATTTTCAAATATTATTATAGTATTTTTAGAGGTTTCAAGGAATATCCATAGATTTTTACGAATTTCTTAGGATTTTTGAATGTATTCAAGGTTTTTAAATGATTTTTAGAAAAATTAGAAGGATTTCCGAGGATATCCAGGGATTGTTAGGAATGGCGAGGATTTTTAATTCTTCCCAGATACTTATGTAGGCATTTCTTAGTATTTCTAGGAAATTTCCCAAAGATTTCAACGAACTTTCAAGTACACCATAAAAATTTCTCAGAATACCTAAGATTATCTAAGATTTTACAGAGATTTCTACAGAATTTAAAGTTTTTAGAAGATTTTATAGGCATTTCCAAACACATATAGGGATTTTGAAACGATTTCCAAAAATTTTTATATACAACTAAGTATTTCTAAAAATTTTGAGGAATTTAAACATATTTTCAAAGCTATTTCCAAGGATATCCAGTTATTGTTAGGAATGCCGAGGATTTTCAATTCTTCCCAGACACTTATGTAAGCATTTCTTAGTATTTCTAGGAAATTTCCAAAAATTTCAACGAACTTTCAAGTATACCATAAAAACTTCTCTGAATACCTAAGGTTATCTAGGATTTTGCAGAGATTTCTACAGAATTTCAAGTTTTTAGAAGATTTTATAGGCATTTCCAAACATATCTAGGGATTTTGAAACGATTTCCAATAATTTTCATAATCAACTGGGTATTTTTAAAAGTTTTAAGGAATTTAGACACATTTTCAAAGCTATCCATCGATTGTTACGGATATCTTAGGATTTTTGAGTGTATCCAAGGTTTTTGATTGATTTTTAGAAAAATTGGAAGGATTTCCAAGGATATCCATGGATTGTTAGGAATGCCGAGGATTTTTAATTCTTGCCACACTTATGTAGGCATTTCTTAGTATTTCTAGGAAATTTCCAAAAGATTTCAACGAACTTTCAAGTATACCATAAAAATTTCTCAGAATACCTAAGGTTATGTAGGATTTTGTAGACATTTCTACAGAATTTCAAGTTTTTAGAAGATTTTATAGGAATTTCCAAACACATCTAGGGATTTTGAAACGATTTCCAAGAATTTGTATATACAACTAAGTATTTCTAAAAATTTTAAGGAATTTAGACACATTTTCAAAGATATCCATTGATTTTTATGGATATAAAAAAAAATTAAAGATTTTTGATTGCATCCAAGGTTTTTGATTGATGTTTAGAAAAATTGGAAGGATTTACAAGGATATCCAGGGATTGTTAGGAATATCGAGGATTTTTAATTCTTGCCAGACACTTATGTAGGCATTTCTTAGTATTTCTAGGAAATTTCCAAAAGATTTCAACGAACTTTCAAGTGTACCATAAAATTTTCTCAGAATACCTAACGTTATCTACGATTTTGCAGAGATTTCTACAGAATTTCACGTTTTTAGAAGATTTTATAAGAATTTCCAAACACATCTAGGGATTTTGAAACGCTTTCCAAAAATTTGTATATACAGCTAGATATTTCTAAAAATTTTAAGGAATTTAGACACATTGTCAAAGCTATCCATCGATATTTACAGATATCTTAGGATTTTTGAGTGTATCCAAGTTTCTGATTGATTTTTAGAAAAATTAGAAAGATTTCCAAGGATATCCAGTGATTGTTAGGAATGCCGAGGATTTTTAATTCTTCCCAGACACTGATGTAGGCATTTCTCAGTATTTCTAGGAAATTTCCAAAAGATTTCAACGAACTTCCAAGTGTACCATAAAAATTTCTCAGAATACCTAAGGTTATCTAGGATTTAGCAGAGATTTCTACAGAATTTCAAGTTTTTAGAAGATTTTATAGGAATTTCTAAACATATCTAGGGAATTTGAAACGATTTCCAATAATTTTTATTGTCAACTGGGTATTTCTAAAAATTTTAAGGAATTTAGACACATTTTCAAAGCTATCCATCGACTTTTACGGATATCTTAGAATTTTTGTGTGTATCCAAGGTTTTTGATTGATTTTTAGAAAAATTGGAAGGATTTCCAACTATATCCAGGAATTGTTAGAAATGCCGAGGATTTTTAATTCTTCCCAGACACTTATGTAGGCATTTCTAAGTATTTATAAGAAATTTCCAAAAGATTTCAATGAACTTTCAAGTATACCATAAAAAATTCTCAGAATAACTAAGATTATCTAGGATTTTGCAGAGATTTCTACAGAATTTCAAGTTTTTAGAAGATTTTATAGGAATTTTCAAACATATCTAGGGATTTTGAAACGGTTTCCAAATATTTGTATATACAACTAGGTATTTCTAAAAATTTTGAGGAATTTAGACACATTTTCAAAGATATCCATTGATTTTTATGGATATCTAAAGATTTTTGATTGTATCCAAGGTTTTTGATTGATTTTTAGAAAAATTAAAAGGATTTCCAAGGATATCCAGGGATTGTTATTAATGCCGAGGATTTTTAATTCCTCCCAGACACTTATGAAGGCATTTCTCAGTATTTCTAGGAAATTTTCAAAAGAATTCAACGAACTTTCAAGTATACCATAAAAATTTCTCAGAATACCTAAGGTTATCTAGGATTTAGCAGAGATTTCTACAGAAATTCAAGTTTTTAGAAGATTTTATAAGAATTTCCAAACACATCTAGGGATTTTGAAACGCTTTCCAAAAATTTGTATATACAGCTAGATATTCCTAAAAATTGTGAGGAATTTAGACACATTTTCAAAGATTTCCATCGATTTTTACAAATATCTTAGGTTTTTTAGTATATCCAAGCTTTAAGATTAATTTTTTAGAAAAAATGGAAGGATATCTAGAGGTTATTACAAATGTGCACGATTTTTAGTTATTCCCAAAGATATATGTAGGCATTTCTTAGTATTTTCAGAAGATTTCATAGAATTCCTAAGATTATCTAGGATTTTGAAGAAAACTTAAAAAAATTGATGTTTTGCTTACTATTGAAAGTACTGGAAGTAGATAAACTACTTGGAGTAAACAAATAGTTCTTCAATTACTTCTTATGTCAATCAAGTAACAAGTGTTCAGTACTTTTTAAGGTAAATACTGAAAGTACAAGTATTAAGTACCTACAATTTGAAAGTACTGGCAGTAAACTACTTAAAGTAGAAAAGTACTGAATACTTTACTTGCAGTACAGTTTTACTGCAAGTAGTTCAACTGTGGTGTATAGGCGGTGTAATTACACGATGTCATTAAGTCAATGTAGCGAAATTAATCACGACTTCTTTTTTGAACGACTTTTCTACGACTTATTAATACATTTCCTTATACTGCTTAAGCTTATATGTATAGTCTTATTTTTATTCTTCAAGAAGCAGTGTTATGTTAATGAAAAATGTTAATTATCACTAAAGGTTTTCACAATCACCAAATATTCAGTGATAATGAAATTCGTGTTTTAACTACCATTGAAGAAGTAATGGTAGTGAAACGCTTATTGCATTTATTTTTTAGTGCATTATGCCCAACCTTGGTATAAATGTGGGTTCACAATATAATAATTTATTTTTAGAAACTTTGCCATATGGAGTGATACAGAGAAATCAACCGAAATCTTGCGTTTTTGCATAGAAATCTTAGACAATTTCGATATTGACAACTTAAACGACCAACATTGGGATTTCATTATAATATCATTAACATCATGGGCTTTAAAAATTTCCGATATCAAAGTTGTCTATAAAAATATCCAGGTAAGTAATTATTAAAATAAATCTAAAAACAAAAAAATAAATCTATTAATTCCAATTTAAGATTCAATCTTTTATTGCGTCCGTGTATAATTTATTCGCCCGGATAGAACGTTATTTAAAACAATTAGATCCAAATTCAAAACGAGTTAAGGAATTTCAAGATGTTTTTGCCGAAGACGTTCATAATAGTTTTATGGAGATTTGGCTTTATCTCACTGAACAAGTTTTGAAAGATGTTCAAGTTAAGACGACACTTTTACCGTTTCTTCAACACATCGGGAGCGTGATTAAATATGTAAACCATGAGTATATTTTCAAGAAGGATGATAATTATTGGACGAAATTAACGAAGCAATGTTGCGCGTTATTGGTGAATCAATCGAGTATTTTACAAATGTGGGGTTATGAAATGCTGAAAGTTTTAAAGCCGGGTTTTATCGAAATGGATTCGCAAACTTTAAATTCGAACACTCCAAATGAGAAAGGATTAATTCTTGAGAAATTTAAGAATATTTTGCATAAAACTCAAGAGATTGTGCATATTTTGTTAAGTGCCATGAAGTAAGTTTTTATTTTTATCAAATTTTAATCAATTTTTTCCTCGAAGGCTGCGATATTATAACGTAGTAGTAATTGATTCTGAAACAGTCTTCAGTTTTTCTCCATCACGTCCAGTTTTCGAGATATCCCCAAAAATGTGGAAAATCGTAAATTAAAAAACATAATAACGGTTCACGTTCAGTATATTTGAGCCTAAAGCAACTCAACAAATTCAATATTTTGGCATTTTTCCCTTTTTTTTCGAAAAAGTACCGTACCGTCACCGTAACATAAAAGAACTATATATGTACAAAAACGTTAGCTATTCTATCCTGTAAAACATTTAATTCTCTAAATATCGAAGTATTAGACACCATGCTCGAACGTATTTTACCAAAGATATCGTTAATTTATAAGAATCGTGAATTGAAACCCAAATTTTTAACTTTATGAACTAGTAAAAATCATAAAAAATTTAACTCTTAAGATATCATGATATATTTTTAGTGATTTATAGAGGAAAGTGTGTACTTCTTTATGAACTAAACCGTATTTGAAAACATCAATTAGTTTTTGAGATAATAATTTTTAAACTCATCCAAAATTTTGAATTTTTAAACAATTTATTTCAGCGTTTTAAAAAACAATCGCGAAAAATCGAATTCTTAAGATACATGGATGACACATTGATGTTTTATAGAAGAAAGTACGTACTTTATCGTGAACAAAACCGTTCTTGAAAATCTCTATCCATTTTTGAGATAATAATTTTTGAATTCAACCCGAATTCCCAGTTTTGAATATCGTAACATTTTTTTCCATCACTTTTAAAAAATCGCCTAAAATCGAACTCTTAAGATATGTGGATGAAACGTTCGTGAGTTATAGAGGAAAGTACATACTTTTCTATGAATAAAACCGCACTTGAAAATCGCTCTCCATTTTTGAGATAATAATTCTAAACCGAACTCAAATTTTTAACTTTTTGAAAAAATTTAACTTTTAAAAAATGATACAAAATTAAACTCTTAAGATAACATAATATATTTTTAACGAATTTAAAAATGGTAAACTAGGTGGCCACGTAACAGGACCATGGCCAATCCAATTATTATCAAATCTGTCATCTAAGTATGCTCGAGTAGCACGTGCATAATGTGCTGGTGCTCCATCACGCATAAAGGTCATCAAATGCCTCAGTAAGTTCATTTTGTAAGAAATATGTGGAAGCATCGACTGTCAATCTATTCAGAAGAAAAAATGGAGCTAATAACTGGTCACTTATAACTGTGGTCCATACTTTAACACTGAATCGCCACTGATGATGCGTTTCTAGTATTGCATGGGGATTGTCATCACTCAAAATGTGCGAATTATGGATATTAAAAGTTCCGTTTTGAGTAAAAGTTGCTTCATCCGTAAACACAATGTTTATGGAAAAGTCGACGTTTAGTCAAAAAATCTATTGTTTTTCGCTATAATTTTATGTTAAAGCTTGAAAAGTGTTGTAGTGATACGGATAAAGCAACTGCTCCCATGCAGCGAACGATTATTTTCTTGTACAGAAATCTTTCTAATGCTGGTTGAGGCATTTTCATCACTGCTTCTTAAAACTGCTTCTTCTAATTCCACATGAAGGGGTTAATTATTATAAAAAAATTAGAATTAATGATGTTAACAATAGGTCAATTTATGTAACTAAAACTTTGAATATCTCAACAATGGACTATTTTCGGGCAAATGTTTATTAGGCTTTTTTTGTCAATTTTTGATCAGAGAATACGCTGGTGAAGTATTGTACAATTGTTGCGGGACACCTGTACAAGAAAGTGTGCACGTGTTCACGAACTAAAGTCTATTTGAAAATGTCAATTAGTTATTGAGATAATAATTTTTAAATTCATCCAGAATATTGAATTTCTAAACAATTTATTTCAGCATTTTTTTTTTAAATCACGAAAAATCGAATTCTTAAGATACATGGATGAGCATTGATGTTTTATAGAAAAAAGCACGTACTTTATCGTGAACAAAACCATTCTTGAAAATCTATATACATTTTTGAGATAATAATTTTAAACCGATCTCAAATTTTTAACTTTATGAACTTTTAAAAAATGATACAAAATTTAACTCTTAAGATAACAAAATATATTTTTAGTGATTTATAAAGGAAAGTGTGTACTTCCTCATTAATTAAACCGTATTTGAAAATATCAGTTAGTTTTTGAGATAATAATTTTTAAACTCATCCAAAATTTTGAATTTTTAAACAATTTATTTCAGCGTTTAAAAAATAACCGCGAAAATCGAATTCATAAGATACATGGATGACACGTTGATGTTTTATAGAAGAAAGTACGTACTTTATCGTGAACAAAACCGTTTTTGAAAATCTCTATCCATTTTTGAGATAATAATTTTTGAATTCAACCCGAATTCCCAGTTTTGAATATCGTAACATTTTTTCCATCACTTTTAAAAAATCCCCTAAAATCGAACTCTTAGGATATGTGGATGAAACGTTCGTGAGTTATAGAGGAAAGTACATACTTTTCCATAAACAAAACCGCACTTGAAAATCGCTCTCCATTTTTGAGATAATAATTTTTAAACCAAACTCAAAATTTTAACTTTATGAACTTTTAAAAATCATAAAAAATGTAACTCTTAAGATATGATATATTTTTAGTAATTTATAAAGGAAAGTGAGTACTTCTTTATGAACTAAACCGTTTTTGAAAACATCAATTAGTTTTTGAGATAATAATTTTTAAACTCATCCAAAATTTTGAATTTTTAAACAATTTATTTCAGCGTTTTAAAAAACAATCGCGAAAAATCGAATTCTTAAGATACATGGATGACACATTGATGTTTTATAGAAGAAAGTACGTACTTTATTGTGAACAAAACCGTTCTTGAAAATCTCTATCCATTTTTGAGATAATAATTTTTGAACTCAACCCGAATTGTCAGAATTTTGAATTTCGTAACATTTTTTTCCATCACTTTTAAAAAATCGCCTAAAATCCAACTTTTAAGATATGTGGATGAATCTTTCGTGAATTATAAAGGAAAGTACATACTTTTCTATCAATAAAACCACACTTGAAAATCGCTCTTCATTTTTGAGATAATAATTTTAAAGCCGAACCCAAATTTTTAACTTTATGAACATAAAAAAAGTCGTAAAGAATTGAACTATTAAGATATCATGATATATTTTTAGTGATTTATAGAGAAAAGTGTGTTTTATACTAAAAAATATTTAAAAAAAGACTGTTTAGCAGAACAAGGTTTTAATACATAAAGAAGTGGAGTTATTAAAAAACATATTTTCCCAGAAAGTGAGTGTTTTTTAACATTTGGAATCTCTTTTGCAAAAAAAGTCTAGCGGGTAACTCGCGAGTTCTTAAAAAATTTTTCCAAGAATGTTATTGTTTATTTTATTTAAAAATACTAATATTGATTTCAATGAATGTAATGTTGTTATGAATGTTAAGTTTTTGACACTCAGGGAATTGTTTAAAATAATTGGTTACCATAGTTACTCATGGCTACTGCTATTTTTATCATTATACAAATTTGAAGTAATTAAACTTTAAAGTAATTTTTCTCGAAAATTTTCTTATGTAACCAATATTAATATTGACTGTAATAGATTCAGAAAAAAATCCTCTTTCATATTCCGTAATAAAATGGGGGATTGCCATTTATCGCCTATATCCGTTACTTTACGGACACACTGTATATACTGAACATGAACCGTCACTATGTTATTTAATTTACGATTTTCCACATTTTTGAGGATATCTCGAAAACTGGATGTGATGGAGAAAAACTGAAGACAGTTTCAGAATCAGTCTTCAAGATTTTTCCTGTAAATTAGTGTTATTGAAATTATTTTTTTGTTTTTAAATAGATTGGGAGAAGATAGCTGTAGAGTACAACCCCACACCGATTCTTACACTTACACTTTCGCTTATACATTACTTTGGGACTTTCTACATTTATTAAGCGAAGCATCTTCGGCTGATTTGCGTTTTGAATACGCTGAGTGGTTAAAAAATAATAATTATTTAAACAAATTATTAGTACATTTATTTAAATTGATGCCCGGGGAAGTTTTATTTTATGTGCCTTCAGAATCGAAAATTAAGCCGTATTCGGATTATTTTAGAAGCAAATTTGAGTTATCAATGTTCGGTAATACAAAAAAAATAATAAAAAATGTACCTAATTTAATTAATTAATTGGTTTTAATAGAACCAACAAGTAGTTCAACTTTAGAAAGAATCGTTTGTTGGGTCTTTTTTATGTCCATGTCGCAATTACCAGCTTTCGTACGCCAATGGTGGACTGATTTAGAATCGAGAAGTAGTCAAATCGTTGAAAGGGTTACATCTGCATATGTTTCACCTCAATTGTGTAATGAGGAATTAGAGGATGTTGCGCAACATGAAACTAAATTCAAAAATATGGTGGTAAGTAACCAAAAATGATCCAATTAAATTAAATAAATAATTAATTAATTTTTTTAGATAAAAATTCATCCAACTGTACGAGAAGTTGTAGCAATTTACACTGTTGATGATATTCAAATGGATTTGGTGATAACTTTACCGGTTAATTACCCTTTGGTGGGGCCTGATGTTCAATGTAACAAACAAATTGCGGGGTCTTCTCATAAAAATTGGTTAATGCAACTCAAAAAATGTTTGAGATATCAGGTAAGAATTATTTTATTAACCTTCGAGCGGGCTCGCTGTCATAAAATTTATGACAATTTTTGTATTTATAATATTTCTCCTTATATTATATATCTGAAGACGCACAGCTAATCCCGAAACTTTCTAGATGTGTTCTAGTTTTATACCAGCACTATCACTACAATTAACACAAGACCTAGAACTAGAATCATTCGGGTTTAGCCGTCTTAAGAGACGTGCGGCTAAACACAAATGAGTCTAGTTCTAGGTCTAGTGTTAGTTCTAGTTTTATACTGGCGCTATCACTAGAACAAACACAAGACCTAGAACTAGAATCATTCGGGTTTAGCCGTCTTGAGAGACGTGCAGCTAAATCCGAATGTTTCTAGTTCTAAG